TAAAATAATCTTTCATGGAACTATCTTCTGTAAGGTCGATAAAACTTTCTTTTAGTTCCAGTTCATTTGGTGAGGTTCCCGAAAAAGGATTTCTGGTCCAGTCCACTTTTGAATAATCTTCAGAGAAATACTTCTTTAAGCTTTTTTGAAGGCCTTCCAAGTGAACAATTATATCTGCAACCACATATCACATTGGAGATACTTTATTTTCTTCAAAAAATGATGATGGAGTGGGGAATGCAGATAAATTCTCCTCCTGTATTTGTGAATAAAACAGGACCAAATTTCTCTTGAAGGAGTTTATTTTGTCACTGACTGTGAAGACTGTTGTATTTGGTCCCTGAAGTACCAAGTTCAGTGTGTTGAGTTTGTCAAAAATGTCGGCTAGGTAAGCCAATCTTGACAACCATTCTTCATCAGCAAATGATTTTTTCACTCAGAAACATGAAAACTTCTGATGTCAGTTCAAAGAGATGGTTCAAAATTTTCCCGCGTGATAACCACCTCACTTCTGTATGCGGGAGTAAAGTTTTGAACTTGCCACCCATTTCTTCACACATCAAGGAGAAAAATTTTGTGTTTAGGCCCCAGCCTTTATGAAGATAATAACTTTCACAGCATCTGATAGAACGGAGTTAAGATTTTCCGGCATACCTTTAGCAGCTAATGCTTCTCGATGGATGACACAATGCGTACCTACTTTTGTATTCAGGAGCAACTCCTTTCATTTTTTCACGACAGAGCTTTTGCCCCATCTGTACACAAGCCAATACACTTGTACCAGGGAATGCCTACTTTGAGTACATTTTCATTAATTACCTTAAAAATGAGTTCCGCTGTGGTATTTGATTCAAGTGGTTTTCAGAAAAAAATCTTCTATCACCTCTTCATTACAATCAAATCGCACGAAAGTAAGTAGCTGCGCCATGTTTGTAACATCAGTGCTTTCGTCAACTTGAAGTGCAAAATAAGTGCATTCTTGGAGTTTTAAAGCCAGTTGTTCTTCAATATTATTGGACGTATCGTCAATTCGTCTTTTTACTGTGTTATTTGGCACTGGTATTTTTTTAATTTCTTTGGCTGCCTTTTCTCCGAACACGGCTTGAACCATATCCACAGCGGCCGTTAGTATCAGCGGCAGTTAGTATCAGTATTGGCAAATTTCGTCAAACATTGGGTTTCATTCTTTAAAAAATGAGATTTTATTTTAAAAAATTCAATGGGCTTACCAATCAAATCAGGATGCTTAGTATTTTTTTGTGTCGCATCAGTAAAGAAGGCTTCATGGATTGGTTCGAAAGTGTTTCAAGATATACCACACATTGAGGAATAGGTATGTTACTGGTTTCAGTCCCTAGCTTAACTATAAAACCGTATTGTAAGTAGCTTTCATCGTATTTACGATTGGCCGATAATTTAGGTTTTTAGCACAATCCTTTGAAGTTGAAGAGGACGTCAGAAATCGTTTCATAGTTCAGTTTTCTTATACGAAATCAGAATTAATAATTACAACACCCACAACGAACCAAGTGAAAGTAAAAGACAATCCTTTCAAAGACCCACAGGTAAAAAATGAAACACCCTTTGTTTACCAATTGAACTATCTGGGGATTTCTAGGTAAAATTCCTGAAGTGTTTTATTACCTAGGAATTATAAATTCCAATGTAATAGAAAAACAAAGATGTCAGGTCGTTCACTGGGTTATGGGTATTTCATTTTTCTAGCGACCCATGCGCTGAGTCATGTTTGCTATTAACAGCATGTTGCTTACATCACTCACGCGTACCACCTGAAACGTTCCCGCGTACCACTGGTGGTACGCGTACCACCGGTTGGGAACCCCTGAAATTTTGTGAAATATGTAATATTGATATGGCTACTGGAGTTTGCAATAATTTCGTAGGTATGTTTGGTTTCCTTATTTTATATATTGTATGATATCTTCATTTGAGGAGTTAGTCTTGCAGATGCCTCCATTCATCCAGCAACAAATGTCTGTCGGATATAATTCAATATCTAACGTGGTATTAGCCCGGGAAGAGGTTGTTTTTTCGCAGGAATTTATCAGAACATACTGTGTTGGTACTGTGTTTTTTGTATTGCTTTCAGATTATCTGTACATGTTATTTTCTGATCTTCGGGCTTTGTTCACGAGATGTAGCTGTTGCCATATCTTTCTCTTAAACGGAGATTCCATACATGCAGTCAAACCGCCTTGAAGTCAGTCGAGTCCCAGGAACACTGTTGGTTGGGTCGGATCTTTTCTGCACTCTGATGAGAGGTAATACATCGAAACCGGTCTGTATTGATCTACTTGATTCATTTCATCGTGGTCGCGCTGCTGGATGAGCGAGAAATATCTGCAAAACTTTCCTCTCTGAGGTGTCTTGTGCAAATTTCTGTGTGTTTATCGTGGTATTAGCCGGGGAAATAGTTGTTTTATGACTGACATTTACCAAAACCTACTATGTAGGTACGAGATTCCATTTCGAAATATATATTTTCTTATACTTCCTTTCTCTTCTTCAGACCTTTTTGATTTCTATCTATACTTACTTTTTGTTATTCTGTTGAATACTATTTTTATGAATTGAAAAGTATGGATCGGAAACTTCATATTATATATCTTCACCATAAGATTTTATGGATCACGGTCATTATTAGAACACGATTAGGACTCTTGTAGTAATTAATGAATATAGAATTGTAGTTTGGGAAAAAGAAAATGACTACGCAACACTAAAGTTTTTTAAGAGTCCATGAAAGTAGAAAACTTCGCGCAAAAACTTTCGTCTTTTTTCCGGAAAAGATATATTATATTTGAGCCGACATTGTCGTGAGAGTTTTCTTAAACTCCATCGGAAGTTTTAGACTCAAACACGTGTAAAATAGAAACGTGTTTTAGAAAACGTTACACCTACAGATTCATCTGATTGTTTGCAAAAAATTGGTGAACATCTATGATACAGAAAATAATGACAGAACAAAGAAGTCCACGTCAGTATGGCAAGTGAGACCTTGCTGAAATGTGATAATGTCGAAGCATAAATACATACATACATACAAGGTGAATATTTAGGCAAAGCAGCAAACTTTTTGCTATTTCAGGATTCTTTTCATTACTTCGGCTTTAATGTTACCTGTCAGCGCACAGGTCTTTCACTTGATGCTATCTACCGCTACCACAGTTTTCGGTGTCGCCATCTGGAGTCATCATCTCCACAACAGTTTGTTCCGGTTCTGGGTCGGATCTTTCTTCGACAACAGTGTCCAGTTCCAGCGAGGGAAAGCCTCTACTCATTCCTCGTTCCGATCGGAAAGAGACTGCTCGGGAAGATCGACCTGTTTGGGAAAGAGAGAAGATGAATTATTATGATTTTCTCAAATTATCAACGAGTGGTACTGACAAAAAAGTTACAAAATTCGTTGAGAACTCAACGTGGTCGAGTTTCTCCTATAACCCCATTCCACTCTGGATACATAGATGTTCACCATACTCAAGGAATTTTACAGAAACCTTCCAAAAACCTCCAATCAAGTACCCCGACGTTTTGCAGAAGTTTCACCTCGTTACATAAAAAATTGGGTCATACTTCATACTCTTGATAAGACTTTTCTTTAGGTTCAAAGACTCAATGCGCACTCAGTTGAGATGTTGATTAGGTAACTCTTGTAAAAAGTATCTAGGGACCACATGTTGCACGTATGACCGTATCTGAGATCACGAGATTGTGGAATCAGAGGATTGCGATGCCATAGTGAGCTATTTTTATCAGTTCCAGGAAGAGTAATCAATCAATTCCGTTTTCAGATTGAATAACCTTGATAACTTTGGTTCGTAATCGGGTAGTCTGTTTGATTGTTCGTTTTTGAGACTCACAACTTTCTGAGATACAAATTTCGTTCCCCGCAGTAATCGTCTGCCGCAGCAGCAGACGAGACGTTTGGTATTTCAGGCTCCATTCAACCACGTCCTTCAATCAGCTAGTTAGTTTACCAGATGGTTTGTTTCATTGAGGATATTACTGTTAGTGACACATCAGATTTCCATCGCAATCTTATGGTGTCTTGGTGTCTTTGGTGTCCTCTATGACTCTTTGATGCAGTGTTTCTGTAATCAACTGATTCTGAATGAGTTCATGCGATGCAGATTTGGTCTCTAGACGCTAGTCTCTTGGATTGACGGTAGTTGATTGTGCACATCCCTATGTGCATTGGAATCTTGTATATTAAGACTGCAGTTCAGAATAAACCTCATCCATGATAGATTGGCATCAATTCATGTCAACATTATTGTGTGTAAACTTTGCCTAAAAATTATTCAAACGCAAAATCGTATATCTATCTACGAGAGAGACTCTGCAGTGAAATTGCATGCAAATGAGATTATTCATATTTAATATCTCATTTGAAAGTCGCCTGTCTTTTTCGTGCTCGCATAACTGAAATAAAATTCTGGAGATGAAGCGAATGAAATATACGTGCATCAAAGAGTCATTTCAGCTAAATTTCTTCAACAAGAGACGGCAATTGATCGCCCGCTTTGTATCCACATCCACATGTGAATATTCAAATATTCGAAGAGAGGAGAAATGTATATGACTGGCAAGCATAGCACTCGCTTAAATCATTCTAGATGACGGTTTAATATTTGATTGCTCTATTCTACTATCAGTTGTCTTTGGTCTCGGATGGAATGTTAACTAGTCTTCGAGTTTGGCTTACAGAGGTTTCTCAAAATACAGCATTTGTTGAAAGCTATATCTAATTTTCAATAATAACGAAATATTTGGTCGAAGAGGACTGAATACTTTCTTACCACATCTACTTTATCTTACTAACTTTCTATAGAAAAGAAATAATGTCTTCCGCAGTTAAATATAAAACATAAGGCATGGAAATCTGCGTACCACGACCAAAAAATCTCAGAAAATTTGACATAATTATCAATATGAGCATATGTTTGTATCTTCCCAACAAATACCTAATGAGGTTGATCCCAGTGCATAGAATAATTTCACAGAAACAATGTGAATGATTCTATCATATCACTTCTTGAATTAACATTGATTACAAAAATGATTTCTCAACCTTCGTGCCACACTTCGAAAGAAGATCATAGGGATACTTCTCTTTCAAACTTAGTTTCCAATTTTAAAATTTTTGCTTGAAGAGAAAATCTTAGTCAAGTATGGAACTAGTCTTTGGTGGAACTAATACCCAAAATAAAGGAATCCAGGGAATTTAAATACTTGCGTCCTATAAGTCTGCTTCCATTTCTTTCTAAAATTTTGGAGATAGTGTTTGATAACTGCGTGTCAACAACTGAAAATAAGAATTCAGTTCATACTATTGTTGCGCTAAAGCCTTATTGGACATATTAGATGTTATTCGCTACGAAAAAACTACATGTGATATTTTTCAAAATAAAGTTTGCGCAGATTAAATCGTTTCGGTGTAGATGGTATATTAAATGTTATCGTCACAGCATTGGACGAAGTTAGATATTGCTCAGTTTCAGCAAAGCTTTCGATACAATTGTTCAATAAAATCGTCTCTATTTATGACCTTTAGAATTTTTTGATTAATGTTTCTCACATAGACAGCTAATAATTAGGGTGAAGGGGCACACCTCGGATTCCAAAGAACTTTCTTCAGGTGTTTCACAGGATTCCCATTCTCTACATAATTTATAATGCCTTACCAATTGACAGCCGGTTTGAAAAAACTAAAATATCATGGGTATGCCAACAATATGCAACTATATTACTACATAGTTGTAGATCATGCCCGAAAGAAAGTAACGCCGGCCGCCACTGGTAACCATAAACCAAACATGACGTAGCTGAGAGCGTGGGAATGAAGGCTCAATGTTCCTTGCCGCTCGAGAAGCAGCAAGAAACATGCTACCGATGTCGATGGAACTTCGGAGAAAATTCTACGATGTTCGATTGCGATATTTAAACGCTGGTGCAAGCATATCAGGACAGTCAAGTGGACGTTACAGTGTGGTACGGGATGTGATCTAGTAAAGTGACATTCAAATAATTGAAGTATTTGTGTATTTAAAGTGAAATAAAGTTAAGTTTGATTAAGTGTAGTCAATTATTGATCAACCCATGGAGAAAAACGTAAAATTTGGTGTCGGAAGTGGAATAATTGACTGAAAAATTTTTTTTTATGGTGAAAACAAGATTACGACGAGATGGAAAATGTTCGAGGCTTTGCAAGCGAGCCTGGCAGAGAATGAAAAACGCAGAAGAGAGAAAGATGGACGCAAAAGAGAGAAAGATGAACGAACAAGAGAGGAAGAACAATTACTCCGAAATGAAGAAGATGAACGACGGAGAGGGGAAGAAAAGTTACGGAGAAATGAAGATCGTGAATTACTACTATAGGTATTCAAGAGAAACAGGAAAAGCAGGAATAGACAATCAGATGTACCTTCATTTATTGGATTTGAGATCTTCCCAAGTGAGTAAAGGAGAGGTACATGAATGTATTCAGGAAGAATTTGGAAAAGTGTTTACAGGAAGTTTATTCCACATAAACGCAGTTCTCCAGATGAAAGAGTTCTCAAAGAGTGAAGTTCGAGGTGTTTTGAGTTGAACCTCAAAACAATGAGCAGTCACAGTCCGTCGCGAATTTCTGATATGTACCTACCGCTCTTGGTGGAATAAAATGCGCCAAATCACTTGAACACCACCCGTGAAAGTATTTATAGAAGAAAGACAAATCCCCAACCTTTATTCGATGTTCTAGGCTATCAAGGTTGCACGTGATGTTCTCGTCTCCAGTCAGGCGGATGTCTCTTTTCTGGATGGAATCTAGCAACTTCAGAGAATGTTTGGGGGCAGGGGCAGGGCTTCATACATGAGAATAATACTCCAAAGACGGTCTGATCTGATCTTTATAAAGCATCAAAAATTGCTGAGGTGTGTACCAAGGTTGAGGAGCAACCTTTGCAATTCCAGCGACATGATTGTGCCAAGACATATTGGCGTCCATTTTAACCCCCAACAAACTTATCGAAGCAGAAAGCTGAATTGTCTGACCTGACATTATTATATCCGGCTCGGAGACATTTATCTTCTTGGAGAAAACCGATGCCTGGGTTTTTGTGGCATTGAATTAAACATGGTTACTTTCACCCCATTTCGAAATCACTCTAGATCCTCATCAAGACATGCAACCTCCTTCTGCCCGTGAAGATGTGCCTCCGTAGCCCATGTACTGGAATCCAAATATAAATAAAATAGATGGTGTTCTCATGATCTATATGGTTTTTGATTGATGGTTGACGTTATCTTCAATGTATTTGTTCGTATACGTGAAACTGGAAATCGAGTATCGCCTCTAGGGAAACGACACTGGAAAAATGATTTTCCGCAAACAATTTTCCGGACGATTTGTCATGTTTTAAAACACATTATGCTATTAATGCTCCCATATGGCCGCATACACTTATGCCTTCGTATGAAAAATCTCCTTCATTTCTCGTGATTCTTCTTGCCTTGCAAGCAATAAAGGAGATGGAGTAGCAGCAAAATCGAATTGTCTGCGTAATTTAAATTCCATTATGTCCTTTTCGAAGTGGATGCATTCAATATCGGTCGGCAGAAGATAGATTATGAATCCGAAATTTTCGGACGGTTCGGTGCTTGTTAAAGTTTCCACAAGACTGATCCAAATTCCTCTGATGGGCATCTTTTATTTAAAATGGAGTCAAATAGGGCTAGGGATGAAAATAATTGGAATATAATAAGTTGACATATTTCCAAGTTATCATTTATTGGATTTGTCATTTGAATTTTCAATCATAATAACGGTTCCTTGAAAATAATCTTGTGATTGTCTGGAAGAATATGTCATCCAAAGATGATCCAACCAACCAAAATTTGTTCGACAAAGGATTGAAAACTTCTTCGACGAACTTTCACCCACTAATAAAAAGTCAAATTCATCCTTCCACAACGAGACCAATTAATTGAAACGATAATAATATGAGATATTGGGGTAACTAGAATCTTGTCCACAGGGTTCACACTGTTTCTGCTCACAATCCCCGATCATTTCCCATTCTCAGTCGATCAACATAAGGGCCATCAGATGGCTTTGAATGTGTTTCAATATAACCTATCCTGTAGTTTTCAACTTCTTTTAATTACTTCTTGATGAAGAGGAGTATCTGTCAAGGGTGTCTGTGTAGGGAACTAGCACAAATATCTATTGGATGTATTCAGTATCAGTCGTTACATTATCATTATTGAATTGTATGCGGAGAGATTGGAAGAATCCAACCTCATACACAAGTCAACAAAAATATTCTCAGACAGTCAAGCGGCGTTGAAAGCTCTTGGCTCCTACCGAGCAACATCTAAATTGGTAGCAAATTGCCAAAAACGACTCTCCTTGATAGGTAGATTCAACAGATTGTCTCTGGTCTGGATTCCTGGCCATACTAGCCTGGAAGGCAAAGAGGCTGCTGACCCCCTTTGCAAAGGAGGGTACTGCAAGCAGCTTCATAGGATCAGAACCTGTCATTGGCATCGCTTTAGGCTTTACCAAACAAACATTGAACACCTGGATGGCAAGAAGATTTAAGGACTGCTGGCAGAATCTTCCAGGATTGGCTCACTCCAAGACATTTATTCACCCTTCGAAGCTTGATACCAAACAGTTGTTGGACTACAGTAGGGATGAACTACGATGTCTAACAGGCCTTCTCACAGGTCACTGTCATTTAAATCATCATACGGAGAGACTTGGACTGTCGAAAAACAGTGTGTGTCGCCTTTGTTTGGAAAACGATGAAACAGCAGAGCACATACTTTGTGCCTATCTCGCTGGGGACCAATTTGGTTTTCAGAGTTTGACACAGTCGTATTCTTACCATTTGACCTGAAAGACCACTCACCATACAAAATAATCGGCTTCGTTAAAAAGCTGGGTTTATTTGGTCTAGTGTGGATAGGTGTGATCCACAATAAACCTTTGCGGGTTGCGGTGGAGAGACGAATAGACCTACTCACTTTTGACCTAACCTTACCTACATTATCCATGACAGTAATTGTTTTCTGACTAACTTTTTAAAATTCTCCTGGGTAGGATACTTCGAAGAGATCGATATTCAATTTCACTCCCAATGTCAGTGTGTTCGGAGAAGTTTATCAAATATTCCGAAACTGGTAAGTTTTTCAAATTAGTGTAGGATGCACTATATTTTAAAAGTCATACACATGTTGAACAATTTCGGTGTTGAAGAGTGTTGCTCAGATTTGTTACCAATCCTGAAAAGTATATATCTTTTTGAAGCAATTGTTGCTTCATGGCTCTTGTGGGCATAAAATGAAGGTGTAACTAAAAACAATTATGTCCATACAGAAGCTAATTTCTTCTTTGGACACAACTTTTTTCAATGTCCTCACGAACAAAACTAGCACAAAACACGGGAATCTTCAGAAGCAAACCTGAAGAAGACAGGTAAGCCAGTTCGGAACGATCTATCCTGAGTTTTTCAGAAACAAATGAATATCCTTATAACAATTACGAGCATCACAAGTAAAAAGGTTGCAAAAATTAATGGATGACTCCCTCTTATCAGTAAGTATCTTTCATCAATATACGGAAAAAAATTTTCATATAATCGTTATTGTGGCCGTGATCTATCGAGTTGATTTTTTTGTGGGGAAAACCAGAATTTTTCAGCGACTTCTTGCTGATTTTCACCTTCCACATATCTGAATAAAGTAAAAATTGTAATGGAGAACTTCTATATTTATTAATTTGGCCTAAGAACAGACATAAGACAGACATAAGAAAATGTGAAGATAATTATTTCAATGTAAGAACATAGGCTTCCACGACAGGAATCACGATTGAAGAGAAGAAAATCTGGGCTCGAATCGTGATAGGAATACATTAGATTGTACTCGTTATATTGTAATTTCATTTCAGGTTTCATTGCTTAATATAATTGATATTTTAGCTATTCATTCTCTAATTTTATTTGTTCTTTCATAGATTACGAATCATAGTCCGAACAAATGAAATTCACCATTAAACATTATCAACCACTTAAAAAAAAACGTGAAACTGATTTTCAAATGTAATGTCTTCCACATAAATGTTGAGATTAAAAAACGAATATTACCTATGTGCGGTATGATTCTTTCAACATATCATCAACATTTTGTAAACTCTTCGATCCGAAGCAGAGAGCTATATAACCTGAGAGTAAAGTTTTATAGATGATCGACTCGAAAAAAAAATTTAATTTTCACACTAATTCAATCATTTTCGTATTCAAGAACCTAATATAAAAAAAATCTTCAATTCGTTTCCAGTTATAAAGATGCACTAATTTTTGAGGGTAGATTTAATGAATCATATATAATATCATTTTTCTTTCAGTAACAAAGTATTTCATACAACTGAATATGGAATTGTTTCATTTATTTTAATTGAAGGCTTTTCACGTGAAAACATATTGTGGGAAGAGATAGGGAGATTTTTGTGCATATCAATAACCATAGTTTCATTTTAATTTTGATATGTAGAACATTAAGTTTATCTAAAGGTTGTAGTTTTTGCTATAGTTTTGACAAAAATTACGTTATTGATCTTTTTATTTGGCAAAATAAATGAAAACCTAAAATAAATATAAATCATGCAGAATGTATCTCATGCAGAATTATGAATTTGAATTATCGATTTGCGAAAACAATTTCAGATAACATTCGCTTCTTACAGACATATTCATTGTTTGAAGATTACAGGTCGACCCCTTGTATGAGTGAAAATCATTGTCTTAGCAAAAAAAAAATATTTGGAGGGCCTGGTCGTCAACCAAACAAAAACTTAGAATAGATCGTTGCCAACGGCCTCAGGGTCTATTCGACGGGGGAACGAAACAAGTAACTCTAGTTACCTAGATAGTGTATTGGGCTGAATCTGACAATAGAGAAAGTACCGTGTTCTATGTCGCAGTTGCGCCTTCTTGCTTGCTCTCTGGCCAACTTGGCTCTTCTTCGTAGGCAGCAGATGACTAGCAGGGCCAGCAGAGGGAAGCCAAAGATGCAGGATATGATGGGGACCACCACCGTTTCTGGAGAGACTGAAAGAAAATATTTATTGATCAATTTCAGAGAGGAGTGACTTGCATTTTTTTTTCAATATTCATATAGTGGCTTGTATTTTTCAATAGCAGCAGGAAAAACACAAGTCAGCAAAAAATCACTGGTCGAGAACAAATAAAATACATTATGTCTTATTGAATATTCAATCGAACTGAAGAGTCAGGAAACTAGCAGCTAGACAGAGGGTCTGTAATGTTTCACAATAAAAACGTTAGTCCTGGAGGATACTCCGTAGCGCAATAATTCACAAGATTCTTTCTAGATGACCGGGTCGAGTAAACAACCTGACGACATGATCTTTAGAAAAGAAGCGTTTTGAGTTTTGATAAAAAGCCACTTCCCTGAAATTTTGACCTCCTCTCTTTGAGGGCGTCAAGCGTCCAAAAATGAACGAGTAGGAGGTCGTCATGAAAGTTAAAATAGGACCGACGGTTCAATGTTCTACAATTCACAAAATTACAATTTTGTTCAACTGGCTATCGACCGAAGTCCTGTTCTATTAATATAATTTCAGCTTTTCAAATCTCTCCGCGAGGTTCGTGTATTCATAACTCAGCTGGTGAAACATTTTCAGTCATTATCATAAAACACTATAGAAGTACCTAAATTGGTGTGGAAATATATAGCACATGATAGGTTTGTTCAATAGTGGGTTTACGTAACGACTGCTGAGAACAAAATCTGATAACTAGTAACTCAGACTATACCTAAGAACGGTGCCCAGTTTTTGTACTCATTTCTGACCGAAAAAAGCGCATGCGCAAACAACATAACCACAATCTTTCTTCATTTGATATTTCACTATACCTAATGCAAATTCAAATCCAAGATAGAGTGGATGTAAACATTGACATGCCCTACGCACGTGATATTGAAAATCCCAAGAATTGGCCAGGGTCGTATTCAGAACCAACATCTTGCTGATCGCAAATGCTATATCATACTTAGGAAAACTTTTTTATAATAACGAGTGAAATGCACAAGTTTTACAGTTAAACGGGAAAAATGCAGATGATATGTGTAATATAAAAAGATTTTCATTGGATTTTTCACAGCGCACTCAAGCATTATATGAAAAGAGACGTAATTATTTCTTTATTGATAATTTTTATTTTATGTAAAATCAAAAGGAATATTAATCAAAATTATTCAACTGGATGAATTTGTCTCTTCATCAGTAGTGACTCCCTCACCAATCTGAATTATCAGTGGCTCGATTTGTGCCTCTATTATGTTATCAAGCTTCCACATTTCTGTCTCGACTTCCGATATCACATGCCGAACCACACTTCTCCCATTTCTCCGCTACGACTCTTTTCAAAGCCTCATCAAAAAGTACTTTGAGATCTGCAAATTTGAACGTGGTGTTATGCTGAGCTACAAAATTCTCCGCATCCGCACATATTAACTCGATGGGATTGAGCTCGCAGTGGTATGGAGGCAGGCGAATGACAATTTTGCTTTGGCCATCTCATCGACTATATATTTTTGGTATTCAAGCTTGCGCTCCTTGATAATTTTTAGTAGCTGTACTCTTAGCATTCAGTCTTCAAAGCTAATATTCTTTGATCGCAGCCAATTTTGGATTTCAACCTTCTTTGAAGACGTTGTCGGAATCTTCCCTAACCGTCGCGAATGATAAAGGTGCATTGTCCATTAAAATCACAGCATTATCCTCCAGATGGGGTAGAACTTTGGAAAACCACTGTTCGAAAGATTCACCGTTCATTCCTTCGTGATAATCTCCAGTTTTCTTCGACTCGAAACACCTTCAGCCCTTCAGCAACAAACCCATTCTCATTGCCGATGTGACAAATAATAAGCCGTTTTCCTTTACCTGAAATTATGAAAATGTATGTAAGTAAATAAAACAAATACGAGGGTTACTTTTTATATATTGAGATTGAGGCAGGTCTTAATATAAATATAAGTTTACCTAATGGATTTGTTAATCCAGTGGATTGTCCATCTAGAAAGGCCCTCCTAGATGAGGTCACAGTTTCATCGATCCATACTTTAGGGGTAGTATGACCAGCATTAACCCAGGTTTCATCCACATAATAAATTGTTCTCTGTTGTTCCCTATAATATTTAATTTTGGTCAAATAGGTACTCTCTCCTCCATAACACAATTTCCTCTCTATCCAATAATAAACTATTGCGCCCTCGTTTTTTCCATACAAAATTCAAATGTTTCAATACTTTATGGAATGTTGACCGCTTAAAACTTGGCAATAAAACATCTTCATTTATTTCTGTGAGTACTTTGTCTATCGTGGGTATTTCATTTCTGAAAAAGTACTCATGCACTTTCCTCCTGATTGCATGCTTATCAGCATCATCTATTGATTTTATAATGGTTTGACGATTCTGATTTGTATTCGGTTTGGAAAATGTAAGATTTTGTTTATATTCCCGTAAAACATTGTAAATCGAAGCACAACACACTCCAATTTTATCGAAAACTTTCGATACGACTTCGTCAATAGTCGATGTCTCAATTTCTTCCATTTCTTTCTTGTACACATTTAAAATCACTTCTTTCATCTCAACACTCAAATGTCTTTTTTTGGATCGTTTCCTGGCTGGACTCAGAGGATAGCTCACAGTGTCATCAGCAGTGTCTGTACTGGACATCTTGGAAAACAATTTTAAACAATATACTATAACGCACGCCACACAAATACGCAAACGACTGATTACAACCCTGTGCTAGTATCGAACTCGTATCAAGAAGGCGAATTCACTAATGAACGCTACCCTTTCCATCTGACACTGGGCGATCACGTGAACATCACGCTTCGGTTTTGTTTTGCTTTACTCTATCTTGGATTTGGATAGACTTTAGTAGCGAAAATAATTTTTTATAAACAAAAATAAATGCTGAATACTTGCTCACGAATTTTTCTGATTATTATAATAAAAATAAGCTTGAAACAATCGTTGAGTTTTATGTGGTGAATGACAGCTATCAATATACCAATTTGGCACATGCTCATTTCATTATGATCTCAACTCTTAGTTGGATATTGGCCAACTTTCTAGAAATACTTAGTCCTAAATAAGTTTTCATAAACGCCTTCGTTGATTTGATATGGTTGAACTCTTAAGTTCTAAATACTAGACTTAAGTAGGTTTGGTACTTAGCATGTTACATTGATCTACACGTTTTCAAGACTTAAAAACATATGTAGAAGCATTACATACAACAAAAAAATTCTATCTTTTCTATAAAAAAATTCCTGCTTTGAATAAAAATAAATTGTTACTCTTTTCACGTTTTTGAATATCGACGATCTCTCTTTTGTTAAACCAGACAGTGAAAATCAATCGGTATTGCCTGCTGAGGAGAGAGGCAATCTCTCCTCAGTAAATTCTCACCGTTCTAATAATTGCCAACAACAAAGAAAATTCTTCACCCGCTTCATTCGAGAACTCACTGTTTGTCTTCTCGAATTTTCCTTTGAGTGAACTTTTCGGAGATTTTCCGTTTCGGATATAGTGGAGTGTGAAAATCGTTGTTTGATGAGATAAATCTTTGATTTCTCATGTGCGATATTGTATCGTCGAAAAAAGGTCCAAGGATCACAGATTCCTATTCTAGACGGTTCGTTAAGTTGAGTCATCAAGACCGAAATAAAGAAAAAGCGGATTTTTGACCCGAAAACATATCTCGGGACTTGATATGCTGACGAAGGATCTGCAGTTTTTTTCTCTTACTTATCTCATTTCTGGGATCAAAGGAGATGATTTGTTTCTTGGTGTCGTTATCAGAACTTGAAAATTTATATGGCGATCCGTTCAAAAAAATCATTCAAGCCCAAGTTATAATTACTGAGAAACGAAAAGTAGTTTAGGACTGTAAATATTCAACTACTGAATATGTTAATGTAGAGGTATACATCGCAATTACTTTTCTCAAAGCCCACGAAATATGTGATTCATAAAATGAAACATTGAAAAAGTTAATCAGAGCCGGTGATTTTTAGACCATCCACATTGGCAGATTAATTGTAATAGGTAATTATTATCATCTGCAAGTATCTATGTCTTTATGTGAATTGTTGTTTTAATTAGATTGCAGATTTTATATCCATTTTTTCTACAATTCCTATAGCCTCACGACAATGATAGTATATAGGAAGTAAAAAAATCACTATCGAAATAACGATATTGCAGGCTATATGTAGAGTTCAAAAATTGGATTTCAAACAATAAAATTGTTCATTGGCAGCTTCACGATATAAAAAATTAACCCTACATTCTCAGAATCATTACATAAATCCCGTTCAATAAAACAAATTGGCAACAAGGTGATATATTCCTACATTTATGGATGATTTGCCAGAAATGTTGTGAGATTTATATTTGAATGGCAACCGTTGATAGTCAACCCTGAAGCGCCCGCATATATATTAATATTGCTCTCTATCGGTTGATCGTCGATTCATATGTCGCCATACCTTTTACAAATTGCCCCAATCTCGATGTGAATGGATATTTTATTTCCAAGAGTCTGTGATCTTTACATTTCACTTCGCTTTTCATCCCTTCAAATTTCCATATTATGGAGACTATTTGAGGAAGTCAAGTATCGGTCTCTCTTTCATCATCGATTTACTTGTTTGCCTAAACTTTATCCCTGGGAGAATTCGTATATCACAAGATTGCCTCTCGAGTACCAGATGTATTCATTTTAGGATTATTGAAAATTTCGAAATAAAATATCGAAATGAAATGGGGTTTTGAAAATGGATTTTATAAAGCCAATAGATATTTTTGCATAATGCTCAGATACCTTTTTCATTGAGGCTTCATTGTACCTATTGACCACAGATTAGTTGAGCCTTAGTATGAAAATTGCACAAAACTATCATTAAAGGTCATATCAGGTGGTTTGATGCTCAAAACAAGAATAAATTAGGAATGAGCGAGAGTGAAGAATTGTACAACTAGACAAGTGGAAAAAATCTGCCAG